TGATCTCCTCCTATGTCAAGGTGACCTGCTTAGTGGATGAGGGAAAGTTTGTGGATGTCATCTGCCTGAGCCTTAGTAAAGCCTTTGACATTGTTTCCCACTGCATTTTCCTGGAGAAACTGGCTGCTCAGGGCTTGGACAAGCAATAATCTTCACTGGGGGAAAAAATGGCTGGACGGAAGGGCTTGAATGGTGGTGAATGGAGTTAAATCCAGCTGGTGGCCGGTCACAGGTGGTGTTCCCCAGGGCTCAGCAGTGGGACCAGTTCTGTTTCATGTCTCTATCAATGATCTGGATGAGGGGATCAAGTGCACCCTCAGTAAGTTTGCTGATGACATTAAGCTAAATGGGAATGTTGATCTGCTTGAGGGTAGGAAGGCTTCACAGAGGTACCTGGACAGGCTGGATTGATGGGCTGAGGCCAACTGCAGGAGGTTCCACAAGGTCAAGAGCCAAGTTCTGCGCTTGGGTCACAACAATCCATGTAACTTCCCCAAGGTACAGGTGTGTGGAAGAGTGGCTGGAAAGCTGCGCAGCAGAAAAGGACCTGGGGGTGTTGGTCAACAGCCAGCTCCACAGGAGTCAGCAGTGTGCCCAGGTGGCCAAGAAGGCCAACAGCATCCTAGCTTGTGACAGAAGCAGAGTGGCCAGCAGGACTAGGGAAAGGATTGTCCCCCTGTACTCGGCACAGGTGAAGCTGCAACTTGAATCCTATGACCAGTTTTGGGCTCCTCACTACAAGAGAGTCACTGGGGTGCTGGAGCTTGTCCAAAGAAGAACAATGAGGCTGGTGAAGGGGCTTGGGCACAAGTCCTGTAAGGAGCGCCTGAGGGAACTGGGGTTGCCTGGAGAAAACTGGGTGAGCCTGGCTGAGGGGAGACCTTATTGCTCTTGACAACTACCTGAAAGGAGGTTGTAGTGAGGTGAGGGTTGGTCTCTCCTCTCAAGTAACAAGTGATAGGACGAAAGGAAATGGCCTCTAGTTGTGCCAGGGAAGGTTTAGACTGAATATCAGGAAAAATTTCTCCACTGACAGGGTTGTCAGGCATTGGAACAGGCTGCCCAGGGAAGTGGCAGAGTCACCATCCCTGGAGGTATTTTAAAGGTGTGTAGCTGTGGCGTTTAGGAACATGGTTTAGTGGTGCATCTTGCATTGCTAGACTAATGGTTGGACTTGATGATCTTAAAGGTCTTTTCCAGCCTAAACAATACTATGATTCTAATTTACTTCTTCAAAGTAAGCTGTTAACAAATAAAAAAGTGTCAAAATCTAAAGCACAAAAAAACTCTTTTGCATTTAAAACCCATTTTCTTTCTGAGTATCCTTTGTTCTAAATTATCTTCTTGACTGAACTCTGAATTTGGGACTCTCTACCGGTTGACATGGTCTTTCCCCTTCTTTCCAACGGGTAAGTGAAAGTGGAGTCTGAATAAGGTGTTCCTCCTGCACATCATAAGGCTTACTGTCTCACTGGAAAATACTGTCATTTAAAAAAACGGGAAGCAAGGACAGGTTTAGGGAGGAACCATTGCATCAGTATGACTAAATACATCGGCATCCGTTCTTTTTTAATCTTTCCCTTGCCAGGAAGGCCTGAGTTTTCACATAGTGCCCAGGTTACCAGATAATAACAGTCAAAGCAGCTGCCTGTCCAGGGAAGTTAATAAATCATTTATTTTAAGGATCACAATAATCAGATCACTGGAAAACAATCAGTTTAAAAAGCAAGGAAAGAGGAGCAGAGACACTTTATCTACTATGAATACCAGAAGCTTATTCCATCAAAAACAGTTTCTTTAGCAGCTACGACTATTTCTGCTGTAAATAACATGGATATGTGTTAAAGAAGAGCCAAAAACCTTTTCAGAATTCAGCAGTATTTAGGTCATCCACACTCTATTGACAGACACTGAACTCAGAAACCATAATGATGTAGCTCAGCAACAGTGCATGCTGTCCCACTAATGAGGCCCTTTTTCCATGAATAATGAGTATGGACATCAGCTGTGTTGCCAGGTACATAATATAAACACAATTTAACACATGGCTTTTGGTAAAGCAGTGTGTTTGCTTACAGAGGCTGAGGTTTCGCATAATGTGATCCAACTTTTTAGCCTAGGGTGGGGGCAGACTGCTCAAGGAAATAATTTGTTCATATGTTATCAAAATACAATAAATCAGGTTTGGTCTTAGTCAAAAAAAAAAAGGCACTGGAGTGGGACCAGCAGAAATTGCAGATAGGGAAGTATAAATGAGTTCATTGTTTTATATTCCAATAAATCTTACAACACATGAAGCTGATGAGTTCTAAAATGAGCTGATATTCCCTGAGATGGCCCTTCCGAGACCCATGAACTGGAAGGGTTATACTGGTTAAGCCTGTGGTTGCTGAGTCTTCGTGCATACCTAGCGTATACACACACTTTTGCTTATATATGGCAAAGCATGAGTTGAAATTGTATGGGTTCAAACATAAAAAGTGAGAAGAGTTTTATTCTGAAAAGCCTCAGTCGTTATATTTTCAACTTTATTCTGTCAGACGTTTTTGAGAAAATGAAACACACACTCAAGTTTTATCAACTTCCATGGCATAAACCTGTGTCATGGTACTGTTTAAAACTAGGCATCAGTGCTTTAGTATGCGAAAGCAGAGCTGGCACATGAGTTTAGTCTGAGATTTGTGAGGGCATGGCTTAATACCCTGCTCTGTCACAGTTCTGCTATCTCCCAGGACTATTACAACTATATGATAGACTAGAAGGTGCCAGTGTCTTGTGGTGCTTGGTGCACAGCAATAGGCATCTCTATTTACTTGCTTCCTAATGCGCCAAAATAAAGTCCATGGGGGGATCTACACCTGTGCCACAGGAATTACTGAAATACAAGGAGCTACAAGAAAGACTCTGATGTTACCACTTTAATTGCAAATTTCTTCAACCAGACTAAGCACAAGCAACATCTCCCACAGAGTCATTACTGCTACTGGATGGCAGTATTCAAGTGCCTGGGTGACATTTTGATCTCTCCTTAGAATAATTTGACTTCAGAAAGAATTGAAAACACTCCAGGCTGGACTGGTAGCAGTGACTATCATTAATGTTGCCTGTAATCAGCTGCTTATTTACCTTTCATTAAATAACCTCAGCTTGGCCACGATCTACCACAGGGGTCTGAAATTTGGCTGGGTGATGGTGGTAGTATCAAGCCAATGGTCTATTGCTAGTCTCATTGAAATTTATCTTAATGACCTAAGTTATCAGAAGTTAAAGAAAGCATTTAGCACATATTCAGTGGAAGCTTCTGTCATTTTTTCATGTTATACCCTCCAAAGATTCTTTGTTCATCAAGTAAACGTCTCAGTATTCCAGTAAACTTATACATCATCCCCTTGCCACTGTTGCACGTGATGATACAGGGCCAAGTACTGGGGCTGACAATGAAAAGCCTCTGTGCAAGATTCTACTGTTTGGCTTTGTGGCATCCGTGCAATGCAGCAGAGAACAAAGAGGAGGTAGAAGCCACTGAGAAAAGGGTAGATGGAAAAGATGTTTGGCAAGACAGGGAGTGGAAAAACAGAGGAGGAGATGTATCATGACCATCACTGCTCTGAAGAGAAGACTGGGATAAGTAGTTAGGAAAGGCAGAAGAATGGAACTGGGAATGAACGGTACTGGTTAACAAGGAGCGTCTGGTAGGGGCTGGGAGCAATAGAAGGCTGAGGCTGACCATGTTAAAGAGAAGAAGACAATTCAGTAGACAAATAAGACGGAAGATCAACTAAGGGAAGGCTGTAAAAGATGCTAATTACTTCAAAGAATCAAAGCAAGAGAGTGGCCAAAGCATTGTGGATATAGGCTCTGCTTATGCAACAGTATCACAAATGATGTCCATCAATCCTTTCAAAAACTGTGCAAGTTACAAGCCTTAAAAATCTCTGTTCAAAGAACATGGGAAAGGCTGTAGGAGCTAGCAATTAAGAACATTTCAAAAGCTACAAGGTCAAATTAAAGAGTTAAGGAACATCAAAATTAAGGCTACTAGTTTCCCTTCGTTCAGCTATTTGATTCATGTATGTTATGATCTCATTGTCAGTTACATGATTACATAATATTGCTCTCATGAACTCCCTTGCCATACTACAGTGCACAGCATGAGACTTTTCTGGGAATGAATGAGGACCATGGAGTAAAACAAGAAAAAAACCGACAGCTGTAGGATTCCTGATTCACTTGTTGGAGAAGTTGGAATATGGATAGTGATTAAGCCAGGGACTGCAGGAATAGGATGAAGAGTGGCACTGTGCAGGGTGCTCTAGAGAACTGGATTGTATTCCTGTTTCTGTAACAGTTTCTATACAATACAAGAGAAACCCATTTAACTTCAACTAAACAAACTCTGCCAGCTGGTGCTTCTTACTATGCCTTTTCTCTGTTTGAGACACTGGTGTCTTGAATTCAAGTTCAAAGGGCTAGAGCTGAGGAGAGCAGGGGCTGTGATTCGAACATAAAAAGTGATGCAATGCTGCATAAACCAATGCTTATTGAAAAATACTGAAAATTAATGCAAAAAGTTCAGCTAGTCTTCTGGCCTTTACAGGTTTTCCCCATAAGACGTGAAGTCTGCTACTCACTAGACTGCTGTGAAGTTAAATGAATTATGTTTGTAAAGCACTTGCATGCTACTAAGTCAACACTCATAGAATAGTTCACTGATAACCCTTTCTTCAGACAAGGTTTGAATAGCATGCAATAAAAAGTCTGCAGAACCTAAATAGTTCTTTAAACATCAACAGAAAGCAAAGAAAGCACTGAAAAGTTGCTATAAGTGAGTTCCATTACCCTGTAGAATGAATTAAGCGTGGGCTGTCAGAAAAAAAAAAGTGTTTAAATTTTGGATTAAGGACCTATGAAGCCTTAATTTACAGTGTTTCCTAAATTTTAAGAGTTTGTTTCTGCGTGTATCATATACAGAAAATATAATGAAATAAATATGAACTTACCATCATACTTTGCTAAGACTGCCTGGACATCTGCATACGCTTGCAGTTCCAACAAAGCCTCTAGGAGGTTTTCATGGATGTTGAACATGCTGAGCAGAGGAAACTCCTTCATCAACTAAAATCAGCAACATATGAAAAAGTTAGATTATTAACATGGAAAGGGGTTTCCTGTTCAAAATGTACTGAAATAACCAAATACAAGTTAAAAGCCCTTATTTCACTGTGTTCCTGGCTCTTTCCCAGTGTTCATTATTATCTCAGAAATTTCTGAGCTCTTAATGGACACTGGGTCAGGTTTCTTGACATGCTTTGGATAGGATGTAATTAGTCAAATCAAAGAACACAGCTGCCTGAATACACAATTCTCCTTCAATTAACAAGCTTTTTCAAAGTGAATAAGAGTAGCCATATTGTACTGGAAAAGAATCTTCAACAGCGTAGCTCCTGTATATCAGTAGTAACCCAGTACCTCTCTGATATAGTAGTAGAAGAAATAGAAAAATCTACAGAAAAAAAAACATAATAAAATCAAATGAGAGAAGTTTACATATACGTAACTATATTATCAAATATGTGATATTAGGATTTGTAACCGTGGACACTTCAGAATGCAATTGCAGTTGTGGCCAACAAAAAAAAAATAGAAGAAAGAAAAGACAGCAACAATAGGGAAGGTAAAGTTTATACAAACCTAACACTATAACTAAAGAATTCATCTTGTATGACAAACTGAATGAAATGTGTAGTTAAAATAATCTAATCCTTTTATGCCTAAGTGCCTTTAATTTACAAACTAACTCTTTGAGAGATAGCAGGGAGTTGTTCTTAGACATCCTCAGGTTCAGTGTCTGCATAGATTCCTATGACTGAAACTGATATTCTACTGGATCTCCTTTTTTGAAGGTACATTTACTAGCAGCATCCATTTTTTTTTACTGCAGAATTAATAAAATATTTTTATTGTGAGAGTGATTCTCTAATGAACCAAAGTTCTAAAAGGTCCTTGCTTCCTTCTGTCCTCTTTATGGTTGTTATACCTTAACTGCCTACATGCTTTACCTTCAGCACAAAAAGGTCTCACATCATGTAGAACTACCACAGCTACTGTTCTTCAGGAACTTGCAGGGGAAGACTGCGTCTTCTCTGAGATGGTTTATGACAACAGCAATACCATAACAAGCCAAGTAATGAAAATGATTCAAGATGAGCCTTGCTAAATTTGAAAATAGTAAGCTGGACCTCAAAACTCTGTCACTTAATAAGCCTACCTTCAAAGATAAAAACAAATTGACGAGAATCAGCAAATCTTAATCTCACAAAAAGGTAACGTAAAAAAGCGCCAAAAATAAAACAAGAGGGGTGGACATTCATCAAGATCTTTAGAAAATGAGAACCAGGTAATGCACTGGAGGTTCTTCACTGTTAAGGAAGAGACCTTAACAGGTAACCAGAGGTGCAAAGCACAGAGAATTTATTCTTTGTGTTAATGGTCTGGCATAAGCTAATGTAAAGATTATTCTGACCTTAAAGGAGAAGTGTTTAAATTTGAATATCTACACAGTACTGACTTAATTGCCTTTTGAGGATGGCAGGGTCTTCTTTAACTGAATATATAACATATTTATTATTATACTATATAAATATAAAAAAGCTGAGACAGGAGTTGCTCACTACATTTTTCATGCTAGTGGCATGGGGATAGCCATGTAGCTTCTAGTTTCAATGGTAGGAACTGATCCTGTGAAAAATAAACAAAACAGCAGAGTTTGCAGGCTTTTCTCCTTCTCCAGTTTTAAAAAAAAAGTGACCATAACTACTCATCTAGGTAAGCAGAAAGATCTGGTGGTAAAATAAAAAGTTTCACTGCTCATGAAGAAAAATAATTTCAGGTGAAAGTTCACGTCATTGGATTCATCAGTTAAGGATCCAGCATAGAACCTACTTCTCTCTTGTCCTTACTATTGCATTTTTTACAGACAAAGCTACTATTTGGCAGAAAAAAAAAGCATGACAGAATCTGGCCCTATGCAAACAGTGATTTGAAGTTCAGAATTAATATACTGCAAAGAAACCCCTCCACGGGATTAAGAAAGATTATCCCTGCTCGTAGAAAATGAATAATGGCTGGCAGAATAACATCCCCTCCATCAGTGAAGAAAAGGGAAGAGCTGCAGCTAGTTATGAATGTACTGCGGCCAGTAAAAGCTCTTACTCTGGTTCTCCCTTTCTCACTGACATCACTCACTGATCATTTTTTTCTATTTTAATTAGGTTCTGTCAGAGTGATAAGCCTTGCCTAAGACAGCAGCAGAATAAAGGTCACTGTCTGGACTGCCAGGCCTCCAAACTGAGAAGTGTTAATAAAAGTTTCATCTAGGAAAAGTCGAACGTTAAGAAATCCAACCCGGTTACAATGAACTCAGTTGATATTGTAGTTACAAAACCAAAACAGCTCTAAGTAGCCACTTGGCTATTTGAACATTGACTGTGCACAAACGACAGCATGTTTGCTATTAGAAAAATAAAAGATAGGACATGAACTCATTCCTCTGTCATCTCAGGATTTAGAGTATATAGTTTTCACTGCAAATAATTTTCAGTCACAGCACAAATTTGGTTTTTGAGAAGCTTCCCAGAAAGTAAAGCCACTTAGATGGAAGGACATTATGACAGGTCATCTTTTAGGCCTCAGAGTGAAAGCAAACACTGGGGAAGAAAAAAAAAAAAACACCAACAAAACACCACAGAGGTTGCAACAGAGGCTTGCTGGATGGTCAGGGCAGGCCAAATACCGCGTCACGCTGGGAGGCACGGCAGTGCCTGCTCCCCTCCCCTCCCTGACAGATGGAGAGGGAGGCTGGCTCACAGGGAGATGGGAAGACAGGCACCTTATCTCTGAAAATGAGACGAAGAACGTGCCCGCGAGCTCCCCAGACCCATAACAGCATCAAGCTCTAATCCAGACTCTAGTTTAAGAAGCACAGACCTCCCTTTGCACCCCCAGATTTATCTTCTGTGAAGTGACAGACTAGCGTTTGCCAGATTGTTTGGCTTGTTAATTTTAGTTCTCTCTACATCTTTACTGTAACCTGACAAATGCTTTCATTTGGAGTGGCAACCACTGCACTTAAAGAAAAGACGAAGGCTCTGGTACCACCTTTCTCCATGCCTTAAGAGCTCAAGAAGCAGCCATCAAATTCAGCACTCACGATATCTCGCCAGAGTCACTACAGCTTTTTACATAAACACTAGTTAGGACTAAAAGTTCCGTTGTAAAATTCCAGTTAGTTGGTTATCTCAGCTGGTATGAAAGAGCTGTGTTCCACTGAGCTGAGCTTATTTTCACACCCTATGAAAAAGGACACCATGTGGCTGTGAATGCATTCCCTCCCTACAATATAAGGACGTTCAAACAGCTATTGAACATATCACACTAAATCTATGTTCAAAAGGATTTTATTTTGAACCTGTATTGGTCAAAATACTTTCTAGTGATGAAATACAGACGTGGGGCTCGGTTAGCCCACGTTTTGTCCTAACTGCTCTGCACATTTGGGGAGGAAATAGATACATATGTAGAAAGTAGAATTGCTTTTCCTTGCAAGATTCATTAAGTATACTGCAAATACACAGAAATGGTAGGTTTTGCAGACAATTAATAATTTTCAGGTTTTTAGATAAATAATATTTTGGGAGTATAAGATTGCAGAAAAACTCTGGACGTGTCTGACGCAATCGGGTATCTTATCACTAGTCCTGGGAGGGCTGTGTTTCCAGACTCACCCAATCCATATTGCAGGGTGTAGTCTCAATGATTTTGTGACTGATATGAAAACGTGATGATCTCAAAAAACGCTTTATGGTACGAGGAAATCCACACCTGATTTTTTGGATGAGGAATAAGTTTTATCTCCCAAAGAACAGTTTAATGAAGAGGACTCCCTTCCCTGAGAATATTTCAGTCATCAGCGTTTTCTCATTTAGATCTAATTTTTGAAAAATTTTCAAGGAATGCAGCTTTAACTGTTGTATCCATTATTCTACTTGTGATGACATACATCAATTAGCAATGCTACATTATTTGTGCAGAAAGCAGTTTTAGGCTACAGCTTATGCCTACAACTAGACCATGGGACTCAACAGAATACAGAAGTGGATAAATAAATTATCATATATAAGCTAGTGTTGACACATTTATCCTCCATTTGCATTATGGCTGTATGTATGGTCACATATTTTATGGGCAGTGCACGTAACCATTCATTGCTGTTTGTAGGCATATCTTCTCAACAAATAAAAAGATTTTTAGATCAACGTATTCAACTGAACATATTCATAAATATGAAAAGTGAATTCAGCTTAAAATGAAGAAATAACAAGAAGCAAACAAGAGAAATTCAATGTAAAGAGTGAAAGCGTTACAACCTTAGTGGGTATGTGAAATGGTAAAATCTGTCTCCTAACAGAGGAATGACTGAAGCTGCCATCTTCTAGGTGCAAGTGTCCATCACAACTGAAGAATCAAGCACACAGTATGGATAGCACTGCTATTTTCATAAGTGCTTTGCATAAACTGCTTTCTGTTTATGACTTGTAATCTCTGAGAATTCTTCTACTTTGTTAACAAAGTAAAAAAGGCAAAACTCTAAGCCATTTCTGAGTACAAACCAAGAAAACTCAATTTCTGTGGGCTTCAGGGTCTACAGCTGAGCTTTCAGATGTGCAAGCTCTGACTGAAGCTTACCCTGGGCTTGAGGCATTTGCAACATGTCATTCCATGTTGGCTCTCTGATGTCTAGTAAGATACACTAATGCTTAAGTTTTGTTTCTGGCCAGCTCACCTGATAAGGACAGAAGGGAAGAAACTTTGTCAGCAGACAACAAAGGCTAGCACACAAAAAGTTGGTTGTTTTTTTTAACAATATCAGATACTTAAAAATTAGGCTAACTCCTGGTCCTAAAAGCACAATTCATTCCAGTGCAGTCTCATTGCAAGTGGAATTCATGTGATGCAGACAGTCTCATAGCTCTCAGAGTTGGAAAATGATCTGGACCTACCCAAATTAAAGTTCTGTTTAATTACAGCAAAAGTAGGATTCTGTCATTTCATGCCTT